TATATGCAGTTTGCATTTGGACTCGACTTATAAACAAATATATATGGTAGGTCAGCTATGATTGTCATCATTTTTATTTTAATTAATTATTTTTAATTTTAATTAATAATTTAATTATTTTTATTTTATAAATTTTATGAATATATGGCACATCAATTAATGACAACTTTGCACTTCCATACTGGACTCGCAATATTGGTGAGAGTATGTTTCTATTTTTTTTTTTTTTTTCATTTTTAAGGTTTAACACCTGGAACTTCCTACACCAAATCATTCCTGAAAGAAGCCAAGCTGATACACTGGAGTGGGACATTCAAGCCCTGGGGTCGAACAGCTCAGCATTCAGACATTTGGGACAAGTATTATATTCAAGATCCCAGTGGTAAATTTGAGCCTATCAGAAGATATAACAAAGGTTAGACATTATTCAAGACATGAGGAAGAACAGCTCAGCGTTTGGATATTTTAGGACAATTATTTCATCAAAGACATTTTGGAACAAGTATTTCTTCAAAGTGTTTGAATTGTCCAAAGTGTTTGAATATTGAAATGTCAATTTATTAATGTTATTTCATTGTCTAGACTTGAGGGAAAAATGATATATAGACAGTTATAGGATAGGTTAGAAGGAATCAAAGATTTTTATGAAGGATATTTTCCTTTCCAGATAATTGAATTTTAAATAAGTCATAGTTTAAAAGAATTATTGTAAAGTTTGAAATATAGAGAAAATTGGAAAGTTATATGACTTTTACAAAAATGTTTATCAATGAAGGGCAGTACAGTGTGCATCCATCTTGTTTTGTCCCATCTTGCCCATTGAAGATTTAATTTCTGCTCAGTAATGTTTGAAGAACTTAATGGGTTGAAACTTAATTTGGTATGAATCTTTAAGTTAAAGAGTCCTGTATCAAGTTCAGTTTTCACTAGATTTTTTTACCAAATTCAATGGATTTATTGCCTGTCTTTGACTTGTCTGTTATATTACATTACATTGGCATGGACATCAATGTGATATGGACACATTTCAGGTTGTTGATTGTGATATTTTACATCATGAGTTTATGAGGATATTCCATTTTTTGTGATCTCATTCAGGAGCACCCTTAAAACTCATCTATTTCAACTGCAAGAACCGGCAAAAAGATCTAAAATGTATCCTTTCAACCTATCCTTACCTTAAAAATTTACAGCATGTTTTTCTGTTTCTAATTTTTGTGGTATTTGTTTTTATTTTTGTAATCATCTCATTATATGTTTCGTATTATTTTTAAGCGTTGTCAAATGTAAAGTGCTTAGAGCTTCTAAGATTAGGCGCTAGATAAAGTTCTCATTATTTTTATTATTAATATTATAAAAAAGATATTGAGAAAAATTTATATGAATTTAGTTAAATTTAGTGCACAGCCTTTTATGCACAGATATTATGACTTCAGCATCATATCAATACTGCATTGTGTTTATCTTAACACTTCAAACCTCACTGAATTAAAAGTGATCTATGCTTCTGTGGTGTTCACAAAATATCTCATTGTACAAGTAGTGATGTTTTTATTAGTACATTGCAGTCTGATTATACCCCTTGGGACTGATAAAATGTTTTAGTTGTCCTATTAGTTTATTAGAACAGGAAAATTCCAACATCTAAGTATATTACAAATAGATTACGCTTAGTTTCCCAATCTCCCAGGATAGTTGTAGAAATTGTTTAGTTGGACATCAAATTTTAATTATTTGTTTTTCTAGCTTGATAACACACCATTGTTTGTATGTATCTACTCATTCTACTTGGACGTTAGTGTGATCTGTATTGTTTTAATTTAGATGAAATGTTAAATTTTCTTTAGAAAATGATAAATTTGAATAATTTTTGTATTTACAGTTATATACATATCTCATACATGTGATGTATCTTGTAAATATTTTAACCATTTTCTTTCAAAAAGAAACTCCTAGTCAAACATAAATATGAATATGATGTAATTAGTTTATGTGTTATTTGAAACTTTGGTGCCAAATTAAATTTGTATCTAAGCAACATGTCTATGACAATGTACAGAACTTTTTATACTGTCATTGCAACATGGCCATTGCGAAGAGCATATTTTGTTTCTAGTTTTACATTTATTGTAATTGTATTCAGATACATTTTAGTTCATATATCAATATTTTTATGTCTGTGTTGCCTGCCCTTGCTTAATGGTTCTACAATAAAAATACCAATGATTATGTTTATTCCCAATAATTTTGAAAGCTGTCAATGACAAACCCAGGTAATGTTGCTTAAATTCCTTTTGATGATAGAAATAACAAACAAGCTTCTGTACAACATCTATTATATGTTATTAGGACTTTTATGTCATTGGACTAATGGAAATTCTCTGGACTTATAATATGATGTTTTTAATATTAATAATTTATCTTGATAATCATTTTTTGGAGAGAAAAAAAATTGGTGTCCACTTAATTCGGGAGTCAATATAATTAGAAAAAACACATACCTGATTCTAAACTAGATTTTGTTAAGAATCTAAAAGCTGTGCTTGGAATTCTTTTATAAAAATTTTGAACAAATGAGGTGATTAGGGATGATGCACTTCATGGCTAAAAATGCAGTTGGAGGACAATGCCATAATGCACATCCTTATTGATGTGTACCACTTGATGATGATGGAGATATACTCATCTTTTACACTACTATGCTATATTTGTGTGATAATATGCAAGTACTGTAGTATCATTTATTTTCATGGTTTTGTAAAAAAAGGTCATTTTTATGGGTACTTAAATTCAGGGTTTTGCCTGTCAAAGTTTGCATATTTGTAGGTATTTAATTTCATAGTTTAACCTCTACAAATACCCAATAAATCAAAAGAATAAAACTGTGCTGATCCAAACAGCTGTCAATTTAATGTATAAAACAATACTACCACCTGAGCACTGTGTTTTCAACCAAGCAAATAACATTAGTCAAAGCTGACACAGCCAGCAACACTAAAACAACACTGCCATCTGTATGAGGGCAAATAAAACAACATTAATCCCTTTCACTACATTTTCCTTTGAGTGCCCAACATCAAAGGAAGCTGACACAGCCAACAACACTAGGCCAATTTGTTATTAAAGTACACATGAATGATCTCTTGCTTAAACTTCGGTCCATCAAGTTGCACCATCAGTACTTTCTGATGATCTGGCATTAATACAGTGGCTTAAGAGAGATAAAATTCAACCCCCTCCTTGAATTCCTAACTAGTCAGAAACTGTGAACCAGGCAGCTAATGATGCACTAGAACCCCTGCTTGAGTCACTGTCCCAGAAAAGATAGTGAGAAGAGCATAACAGTTATAATGAGGAAATCCAGGCAAAGATAGGCAGATACTTCATTGATAATGGTGTTGCCAAGGCAGCCCACAAATTCAGTAGTGATCTGAGTTGTACAATCAGTGAGACCGCTGTATGGAGTATGTGGGACCAATACATAAAGTTAAAAAGGTAAGACGGGCAAGAACTTTCTAATTGACCCAGATCACCCTGGGGCAATCATTTGATGCTAGGAAGCGATGCTTGATACGTAGATGCAAGATTGGATAAAGAAAGTTAGAATTAATGAAAGATTGATCAATATTAGGAATGTAATGGCTGGGGCAGAGGGTTTGATCACCAAGTATGCTATCTGGCACATTATGGTGGACACATCAGCATCACCAAGCATTGGGTGAGGTTGCTACTTTGCCGTATGGTATTTTTTAAGCAGAAAGGAACAAAAAACATTAACCAGCTGCCCCGTGATTTTGAAGATATTTAAGAAAACATTCTTGGAGAAAGTTAATACTGTAGTGTAAATAGCACAATATTAAAGACTGTCTTATAATAAATTGGGATCAGAATGGGTGCCAACTGGTGCCAGGTGGTGACTGGACAATGGAAGCCCATGGATCAGCAATTTAGGGGTTATTTATCTGAGAACCATTTGTGAGTACCATGATACTTGATTGACATGATGTTGATACAGTGGCTTTGTCCAATCTGTGAAGTGTGAGCTTTAATACTTCAAAGTGTGAGCTTTAATACTCCAAAGTGTGAGCTTTAATACTCCAAAGTGTGAGTTTAATACTCCAAAGTGTGAGCTTTAATACTCCACTGTAATTAGTGTATATACATAGTGTTTCATTAATAACAATGTTTCAAGAAATAGTTATAGTATTTTACAGAATTGTTGTTCTTTTGGATTAAAAATGCATGGATAAAATGAAATGTGCTTTAAGAAGGATTTAAATGCTTCAACAACAGTTGTACTCAAATGAAGTATCGATTTGAATAAGTATTGAATTTATTTTTTATATACTGTTATTTTGTATTTTCTTTCATTTCCAGTATTACTATTGTTTGAATACCTTAAGCTTTTTCTCTATTTTCTATCTATCCTTACTTACCGCACTTGTCGATTAAAGGCAGTGAGTGTAAAATTACAGCTATTGGATACCTTATTGAATGTGTGCATTGAAACAATATAAAATGATTTGTAATTCTTGTTTCAAAGGTTAAAATAAGAAATTAAACACATGTTAAAGCTAATGTTTAATTACCAGATTACAGTACTGACCATGATTTACCAAATACTGGTAGCTGTGTTAATTTCTAGGAATGAAACACTAAGAAAATGGGGAGGGGGTGATCATTATACATGGCTCATTTTTTGTTGGGATTTAAATTCATGGTTTGGGGACAACAACAAAAACGACGAAAATTGTCCACCACAAATATTGATGATACTACAGTATTTAATAAAGGAGACTTATTTTATTGCATATATATGTTTCCAAAATCTTTAAATACAATAAAAGCAGTTCTAATGGATCTCTTTGTGTTAAAGAACTCTAGTAAAGAACAATTGGTCCATGTTGTAAATTTCGATGTAATTTTAATTTTATATAAAGTTTATTTTATCCTTAAAAGACAGTGTTTGTGATACATTGAATGTCCTTTATAAACAATACCACTCCATTGGCCTAGTGGTTAGAGTGTCCACCTCAGATGTGGGAGGTCGTGGGTTCGATCCTCGGTCGAGTCATACCAAAGACTTACAAAAATAGTACTAACAGCTGCCTCGCATTAAGAGGTTAGTGTTAGGACTGGTCTGCCTGGTGTCAGGATAGTGTGACTGAGTAGGACATCATGCTACATGTCTTCGGCATGAAGCCCCAGTGCTAGACATCACTGTAAACTGCCACACTACAGACATCATAGCTATATGACTTCGAGGGGTCCTAAGTAGCCAAGTGATCTAAAGTGCTCTTTGTTACGGATCACTGCCATCTCACCTCCATCTGCATGGGTTTGAGTCTAAGATTTGTCCATATGTGAGAAAGCTTGCTGGTGGCTTCTCGTGGGTTGGTGTTTTTTTTCCAGGGATTTCTCGGTTTCTTCCTCAATTATTAATACTGGCCGCCATGTATAGCCTATCATGTGCTGAAAAATGGCATTTAGCCTCACAACAACAACAACAACATTGTAGCGATGTGTCTTTATATGGAAATTGGGGAGCCAAGAAGCTGTCTGTAGCAAACAGCTGATTTAAACAGTTTTTCCTTGTACCTGCAAGTCCAAAGTACACCAACTTTAGCAGTTATTTAAACAGGCAAAATTAATGTTGCCTTAGTAGAAAATGTTAAATTCTGAAGGTGTAATAAATGAAATATTGAACATAAAAAGTTAAAAATATTATCTTCTAGTTCTTTTTCTTCCAATTTACATCTGAAGTACAAGAAAATGACAATGCAGAGCTAGCATTCTCATTCTGTAATAAAACTGCTTTAAATATATGACTGCTATTGTATTCTGAATATTACAGTAAGACTTCCTACAACTGAATATTACAGTAAGACTTCCTATAACTGAATATTACAGTAAGACTTCCTACAAATGAATAGTACAGTAAGACTACCTATAACTGAATTTTACCGTAAGACTTCCTACAACTGAATATTACAGTAAGACTTTCTACAACTGAATATTTAGTAAGATTTCCTACAACTGAATATTACAGTAAGACTTCCTATAACTGAATATTACAGTAAGACTTCCTACAACTGAATATTACAGTAAGACTTCCTAAAACTGAATATTAAACTAAAAACTGAAACTATTGACTGTAATGGATGTGTTGGTACCATTTTACATACATGCCACACACACTACACTCTTTGGACACAAATGTGGTACAGTACGAGTCATAAATTTGTATTGCATGTGCTGAAAACGACAATGGGATGAAAATGACTTGGCATGCAGCACTCTACAGACCTGGCACAGTTCTTGCCTGGTCTGACTTAACTTTTCATGCAGATTTGTTATTTATTTTGGTGCTAATAAGGTCATTCTGATACAGATCTGACATCTTCATACTTGATAGAAAGGTCCAAATGTTTGGTCCCAAAAGCATCCAGCTTAAATAAGTTTCACTGTATGAATACAGTGTTATTAGTGTAATATTTAAATCAAAATATACCTTATGCTGTTGTGAAGAACAAATGGATCAAGTCTGACACACATGTAATAGAAGCTGAGATGGCAGTCCACCAGCATGTGACACATCACAGAAAGTGTGACAGCAGTCCACCACACTGCAACATGTATCACAGTAAATAAGATATCAGTCCACCAGACTGTGACACATCACAAAGTGTGACAGCAGTCCACCACACTGCAACATGTATCACAGTAAATAAGATATCAGTCCACCAGCCTGTGACACATCACAGAAAGTGAGACAACAGTCCAACATTTCATTGATACATACCACAAATTAAAAACAAATAAAATCAAAAGATAAAGGCAAAGGTCAGCAGTGTAAATCATTTTTAGTTGTTGAGGTAAATTATTAGATGTTTCTTGATATGTGTATTTGTTCTCATGGTATTTAAATTCAAGACAGAAGATAATCCAAGTGGTTGGTACTCACAAGGTTAAAGGCCAATGTCACAGGTTGGTTGGTAGCATGTTATGAAGGCTACATTGACATCACTGCAGGAAAGATAAGGCATTTACATGCATTGAATTCATTTGGTTTTGTGAGTACGGATTCTGCTGGTTCAAGAAGGGGTCCAATTGTTTCATTGGATTGCAAATTGGCCCTGTTGTTTCATCGGATTGTGAAGAGGCCCTATTGTTCCATGGATTGTTGTTGTTGTTGTTGTTATAGGGTTTAACACCATTTTTCAGCACAAGATAGGCTATACATGGCAGCCAGTATTAATGGTGGAGGAAGAACCCTGGAAAACCCCGGGAAGAACCACGGAGCTATGAGAAGCTAGAGGCAGGCTTTCTCACTTACCCACATTAGCAGAGTCTGGAATTGAACTCATGCAGACAGAGGTGAGATGGCAATGATCTGTAACAGGTAGCACTTTAAACAACTCAGCCACTCAGATTGAGACGCGGTCCTGTTGTTTTCATGGACCTAGAAGGAGTCCAAATGTTTCATTTAATTGAGGAGTCCTATTGTTTCCATGGATTTAGACCATTCCAGTGGTTTCCATGAAAAGAACAATGGGTATTGGGTGTTTAAATTTGTGATGTGTAGCTACCATAAAACCATGGCATTTTGTACCCATGAAAAATATTGAATTGACAGTATTTGATTGACATATTGAACTATCATATTTTATACAGTTTAGAAACATCCATGAGATAATACATCTAAAACACTGTCACTTACAATTCTTTAGAGATCAGATCATATTTGAATTTAAAGGTTTATTTTCAATTTAACAGTGTTCGTTAGAAACAAGCAAACATTAATGACACAGCTGAATTAATATTTTATCCAATTTTTATAATCCTTCACTCAGGAAATCTTAAGTTTAGACTTAAAGAGCATTTTGAATGATTGTAGAGACATCATACACGTGATCCAGTCAACAAGAATGGGTTTTCAGATCGAGGTTTGTCTATTGATGTATTTTAATCATGTGTAGTTATATGGCTTATTCAGTATGTCTTGCTGATTTGCTTTTTGAATTAAATTTTATATTTAAATAATGTGTTGGCTGTTTGGTTCATTTGGCTCTAAATCCAAGTAAACTTAATGGTTTGCCCCTGTACATCAATCTGTAGTTATCTTAAATTTCTTATGATAAACTATTTCACCAATTTTGACCAAACTTTGAACATAACTTCCTGTCATGAAAGCTTTCATTGATACCAATCTGCTGTCAAATATGGCCACAGTTACTAAAAATACTAACAATAAGATATTAACGTTCTTACATACAAAGGTTTCTACACTGAAATGATTTTCTTGAGAGACAAGATTTAGAGTTGTTGTGTAAAATTGATAGGCTTAGGAGTTATTTCCCTTGAATGGTTTGAATTGTTACAGTGTAAATAGCAGTGAATTCAGACCTTTGATCAATCATGTGAATATATGGGTATTATTTTAGGACCTCATCTCTGATATGCTCTGGTTGTAAACTATTATCATAAAGCTATTTTATTTTGACATCAGCATTCTTATTACAATTCTAACAAGCTTGGCAAAGAACCAGAGTTCTGCAGTCTCTGTGTCTCTGAGACAATGACAACAAGCTATTATGCATGACCTAATGTATTCAATTTGGCTTAATGTGAAAAGTAAAAAAAAATACAAAATCAGAATTAAAAATCACCTGCAATGGCCATAGTCAGTTCTCATGTATATTAAATATTTAGATTTATATATAAAATATTTTTTTCTTTATTGGTTCTTTATTATTCCCATTATAGATTGACCATTGGGTTGGGGAACCATCCCAAGGTCACCTTACAATCAAACATTTCTTGTTTCCAGATAAACTAGGGATAATAAATATAATCTATATTAAAAGAAAAAGAAAAAAAAAAGATAACACACACACAACACACTCATACACACATGCATATGGCATGCAATCTCTAGATACTCAATCTCAAGATACTCAATCTAAATAGATGAATACATGTAGGTTACATAGGGTTTTGAAAAAAGTGTTTGTTCCTGTTTACCATCCAATCAGATACAAGCTACCTATTCATTTGTTGAGGTCCATTTTTTTAAGAAATTGGTCCTGTTTTATTATCTTAACAGCATATTTTTAAATGTTCTTATACAATACAACTCTCTACTTAAAAGCTTAAGTGGAAGGATTTTGCATATTGAATCTGCAAGTATAAATGTAATATTTTGCCGAAATAAGCAAAAAATTACACAAACTGTCCAGTTTTCACTTGCTAAAAGTGTTTCTTTTTTGGACAAATGTACAACATTTGGGCAAGAAGGTGCACAATGTTCAATAAAACTGTACCAGAACTGTGAAGTAATATTGCAATCATGGAAGAGATTTTCAATACTTTTATTCTCTCTTACAAAACATACATTTGTTGTTGTCCAATATGTTAATATTTTTTAAAAAAATCATAGCGATTATTCTGTGGATTGATTTAAAGTTACATAATTTTGCCCTGGATATATCTCAGACCACTCCTCACTACTTTTATTTGTATTCAATACTTGCATCCAAGATTCTTGCTTAGCACTATGTTGCCTTTTAGCCCTTTTTAAAAGATTTTTGTAAACAAACTTGAGAGAATTATGTTTTTGTAGGTCCATTATTTTATCCTCCTGTCTATCAAAATTATTACGTGCTTAATGGTTTTTTATGGCTTCATTCCATGCTTTTGGAATTTTGGATATTAAGGAGGAGCATTTCAAGAAGTCACCTCTTCTAGTGTTTTGTTTTATCATTTCAAAAGGTAATCAATTGTAATGATTGTCTACTAAATCATTGAAAATTTCAAAACTGGCTTCTGTCCAGGTTTTGTATTGATAGAACATTCTAGGGGAAATAAAATTAAAAATACTTATGGATAAGAACTCATTTGCACTTTGCAGTTCCTCTTTCCAAAAACATACTGCCAAAATAACATCTCTCAAAAAACTTTTTAATGAGTTTAATAAATTCTTCTAATTTCCTTCACCCTAAGTTCCAAATATCCTTTTCATTTCTGAGTATTGTTGTATTGACTAAGTTCTGCAAAGCTCCATTTTCATTTCCC